CCTTTCTTTAAATCTAGTAAAAATAGATTTTATATCTATATATATATATATATATATACACGCATGGGAAACAGACGCCTGCGGATGCAAGTGACCATGTCACGCTTTTGAACGGGGACTTAAAGCGGACTCTCCTCCCACACATGCACCTTCCATGTTTGACCCCCCACCTTTTCTTTTTTTTTCAGAATACCCCTCACTGCACTCTCTCATGGGCGAGAATGAAGTCCCAATGGCCTGCAGCCTCCTGGGATACTGACATCACGCAACCCAGGAGGCCACCGGCGTGCCTTACCGCGCATGGACGACTGTGCATGATCAATGCGGGCCCCTTAGCCGGCATTCAGCGATTTGCACATATTCACTTGTGCTTTCACTTACGGCACTTGAGTGTCTTTTGCACGTTTGTGTGCGCGTCTGACGCACATATGTTAAGTCACGTATAATCACGTTAAGATAACGTCATAATCAGTGCATTATAATAGTGCACTTTCAGTCACCAATTTCTGATTTTACGTTTGTAGGAAGGAAATGAAAGAATAGCGGGTGCCCCTGTCGGCACTCTTCCGTCCGGCATCCCTCGATCAGCTGATATGAAGGAGCAGGTTGGAAAATTTACGGCTGAATGGAGTTGCAGGCAATCATCTGCAAGCTCCGCTGGGGTATTCCGACAGCGGCCACTGTCAAAATGCAATGTAAAAACAGCAGGGGGTTCCTACATCCATGCTCGTAAGGAGGAATCAGTTATATTCCTTCAGCCTGTACTGTAGGATGAACGAAGAATGTATAACCGCGTATACCCAGCTAAACACTGCGCTCTCTCCCCTCCATTGGCGGCAGCCCATTCAAACACTGTACATGCGCATTGCGCTTTCTTCCCCTCTAACCTCAGCTGCTGGAGAGGAGTGTGCGTTGTTTGAATGAGCCGCGGCCTCGTTTCCTCCTGTTGGGAGCGCACAGGCGCATCCTGCAATGTATAGGAACGGAGAAGGGTCACCTGTGAAGGAGTTTTGTGGTCAGACCATGCACACCCCTAGGCTATGACATGGCACCGGAGCATTTTTTTACTTTAACCCCTTGCTGACCAGGCGTTTAGACCCCCTTCCTGGCCAGTATTCAGCGCTGCAGTACTTTGACTGACAAATGCAATGCTGTACTGAAATGAATTTTATACCATTTTTTGGGGACAGATAGAGCTTTCTTTTGGTGGTATTTAATCACCACTACGGGTTTTATTTTTTACTATATTTAGGAAAAATTACTGAAAATTTGGGGGGAAAAAAAGTTTTGTTTTACATTATGTTAGGAAACAATGATTATTATCCAATTTTTTGGTAAAATATAAAAGAGGGGGTCACGTCGGGTAAATAGACACCAAACGTATCAAGCTTAAAAATTGCGCGCATCCGCAAAATCGCAAAAAACTACCGTACCCAAAATTGGCCATAGGCGACACTTTAAAAGCTTTTACAGCTCAGCGGTTTCATGTTATCAGTGATTGATGGCCCTAGAATTATTGCTCTCACTGCGACATTCGCTGCGATATGTAACATGTGCGGTGTAATGGTCGCAATAGTTGTTTTCGCAGGTATGCGCACCTGATGCATCCGTGTATGTAGGGGTGGGGACTTTAAACATTTTTTTGTTTTTTTAAATAATTTTTTATGTAACTTTTAAAAAAAATTTGGGAACTTTAATTTTTTTTCCTATTTTTTTTTTCTACCTAACTTTATTGCTATCATCATAGGTGGCTAAGAAACCCCTCGTATGTGATAGCAAAAGAGGTGACAGGTCCTCTTTATGGAGACATCAGGGGTCTCCAAGACCCCTAATGTCACCTAGGACCCCCCCTAAAGAAGCTGATGAAGCACAGATCTGCTTCATCAGCTTCTCTCCAGCTTCTGAAGCTGGAGAGTGACACGAGAATGCGGAAGTGATGTAGTATACAACACTTCCGCATTCTGACACCGGAGAATGATCCCCTCCCTCTGATCCCCTGTCGGAGAAGCACTATGCTGGTCCCGGGCTCGCACCGGGGACAGCGGAGCCCGGGACCGGAGGGAGGGGGGCACATACCGGGACATCATACAAGTGATCCGCCGCCTCTATAGCCGGTGGATCGCTTGTATGTTAACAGGCATCGGCACAGCGCGCACGAGTGGGCAGGGCTAACAGGCCTGTTACATCCAGGAAGCTCCCGGCCGGCCGTTTTTTTACAATGGCTGGCCGGGAGGTAGTTAAAGCTGAACAATGATTTATATTCAGCAGAGCGTGCTGGAATTCATGGGACATAAAGTTTATTAACCCTTCCAGTGGGGCTACCCTTGCACTGCAAGGGTTAACTGATCATTTTTGTCTAGGTGCAAAAAAAAATAATAAAGTTGTACTCATCTGAACCGACTCCTTGCCTGCACACAGATGGAATGCTCCTCAGCGTCCTCACATCTATACACGTGCATAAGAATGTGATGACACAAGGATTCTTAAGCTGGCCATACGCTCTGCGATTTTAGATCGAAAATGTTCGTTTCTGCCAAGAACCCTCCTTCGATTTTAACTCAAATACCCCGTCACGCACAGACCAATGTCCATTTCCATAATTGTTCGTTAGCAATAGACATGTTTCGTTTGTTGGACGAAATTTTGTTGCAGCAAAATGACATTTGAGAAAAAAAAAACAAGTTTTTTTTCTCAAATGTCACTTTGCTGCAACGAACAAACGAAAAGAATGTTCGCACAGACTACCGCTAACGAATTTCGTCTAAATCCCGAAATGAATTGCTTTTCGGAC